GCTTGCAAACCACCTTGCATCGCATTCCAAAAGTTGATTTTGAGTCAACTTTCGATTTTCCTCGCTGCGAGGTCTGCGAGTTCTGCGAGGTTTGCGGGTTTTTCGTTGGAGTCGGATTTTGGTTCATTGCGCTGGTATTGCGACTATATGTAAGTTTCTGAGGGTGTACCGGCTTCACTGCATTCCTATAGTAACCATAAGGGAGCGGTCTAATCACTCTATGAATTAGTATTATGCCCGCAAACTTAAAACCCGCAAACTCGCAACCCGCATGCGAGTTCCAGTGTGGGGCGGCCTTTAGGATTAACACTAGCTAGAGAATTCTAGACACTAACAAGGCGAGATAAACGCCAAAGCTGACGGGTTAGCCAGATATGACTGTTTCAACATTACATAGCGGAATCTGAAAAAATCTGAAGACTTCTTACCTTAGAAGACTGTTCGTAGATGGTGCTGGGTCATCCATTTGTCATTTGCTGATAAACGTTAAAACCACAACGCAGCTGTAACTTGAATAATCAGGCACTAATAGTTTTTATGCATATCATGAGAATAAGCAGAGCCTGAGCAATGCACCGATAGCCAGAACAAGCCGATTCCTTTCATTTTTCAAAACTCTGATAATCAGGGGTGTAATTTTATATCTCTTTGTGGGAGCACATGCACCCACAATCCTGAATTATTCCCCCACAATGATGAGAATGCACCCACAAGTCTTTTACAAGCGTCCCTTCGAGAGCACGGCGCCCTTCGCATGCTGTAAAGGCGTCCTCCGGACCGTCTCGTGTTCCTGGATAATATAGTGTTTTTAATTATTCGGCGCCCTTCTAGGAGAATGGCGCCCTTTTTATGGTCTCACGGCACCCTCGTAACCGTCTGACGCCCCTATATCCTCACCAACTTAGCACTATACTGACTGTTCGACGCCCTTCTGGCCTCTCAGCGCCCCTAGACCACATAGCCCTTAGGATCAGGGGCGTAGCCAAGGGGGGGCATAGGGGCCATGGCCCCCCTGGAGCCCAAAAGGGCCCCCATCGCGGTGTCATAAGTACGGTAAGGGGCACAATAAAAGTAGCGTAAGGGCCCCTCGCGGCACTCCACTGGGTTCGCGGGGGCCTTTCGGGCCTAAGACCTTGCCGCTAGGGCCCTCTGGGCTCTCTTCATTGGTTATAAAAGGGCCCTTCGCGCGTGAGGCTTTGCCACTGGGCCCCTCGGGGCCCTCTCCATTGGGTTCGCAGGGGCCCTTCGTAATTTTAAGGTAGTTAAGCAAATAACTACGTCATGAAATTAAGAAAATGTTGGCCCCTTCGCTCTCATGGGCCCCTTTTGGTCTGGTTGGCCCCCCTGAGGAAAATCCTGGCTACGCGCCTGGCCCTGTCAGGCGTTCAGGGCCCCTTGGGGTCCTTAATATGCTCAGAGAGTTTTCCTGTAGATCAGAGGACCGTCACGCGCGCTCAGGGGCCTCTTCATGCACTTAGAGGGCCCTGTCGTGTACTCAGAGAGCCTTTCTGTGGCTTAGAGGGCCCGTGAAGCGATCAGGGGCCCCTCCATGCGCTCAGGGGGCCCTGTCGTGTATTCAGAGGGTTTTTCTGTTGCTTAGAGTGCCCTCGTCAAGTTATCAGGGGCCCCGTCAAGCAAAGTTAAGACCTTGCCACTGGGGCCCCTCTGGGCCCTTTCCATTGGTTGTAGAAGGGCCATTTGGGCCTGAGACCCTGCCACTGGGCCCCTCGGGGCCCTCCATTGAGTTCGCAGGAGCCCGTCAAGCCTGAGACCTTGCCGCTAGGGCCCCTCTGGGCCCTCTTCATTGGTTATAAAAGGGCCCTTCGGGCCTTAAGTTTTGCCACTGGGCCCCTCGGGGCCCCTTTCCATTGTGTTCGCAGGGGCCCTTCGGTTCTCTCAGTTCTAACATTTTTTTTTTCATTTTTTAAATATTTTTTTTATTTCATTTGGCCCCCTCCAAAAAATAGTGGATGAAATCCGATGACTTTTTGGATTTTGAGGGGGTTTACCTTGGGCCCCTGTAAGTTTGGCCCCTCCTGGAGGAAATCCTGGCTACGCCCCTGCTTAGGATTCAATCACTTGGCGCCCTTCTAGGAGAATGGCATGGTCTGACGGCGCCCGCGTAACCGTCTGGTGCCCCTCTCATTTTATTTATTTTTTTTGACGCCCTTCCGGTCACTTTGCACTTTTATCTGTGTATTTGTTTAGTCAGACATGTCACTTGAGGCGCCCTTCGGCTAGCAATAATATCAATTTCGGTGTTAATCTAGGCTCCCACATAAAGAATGTGCATTGCGCCTCACAGCGGTCTGGCGCCCCTACAGCTGGGCACCCACAATCATTTTAGGAAAATTACACCCCTGCAGTGATAATCCCTTTAAAGGGACCCTCCCAGTTCCCACCTTCAAAAAAGTTAATGAAGTGGCATAAAAGCGATGTTCCGTGGTTAAGAATGATCAAAAATGAATATCTACCAAATTTCACCGAAAAATGTTCACTGGTTTTCAAGATGCTTTTACTTTTACTTTTGTTTACTTTTTGGGAAGTCTGCTGTTCCTACGACGTCATTTGGAAGCAGTGATTTGGCAATCTAAATTCTAAAAGTGCGGCAGATGTTGCACGCAAAGCAGTATAAACCACCACGTTTTAACGATGGTTTTAGGGCGATATTTAAAAATCGTTAGATCTCCGCTGACGTCACAAATTCTAAAGAGGCATTCAAATGCATTTGCCCCTTAGAATCTGAAAACTGCAAGTTTGAAATTAAATATCTCCGAACTGAAGCACTTCTCGATGTTGTGAATGCCCAAACTGGTAAGTGCAAGCCAAGGACCCCAATTTGGCCATCTCAATTCAAAACTACAGTTAAGGTTGGATGGTCAGTTTTAGTGTACCTAATAGACGACTTTCTAATAAGCGCTGGCGACTTTTCATTTCTCGGCATGTTTTTACAAGCGTGAGGTACGATTTCGTGCTATGCTTTATAAGTACCTATAAAGGGTTGCAGTGCTGCAAACTGGACACAATATCATTCATTTCAGGCATCGGCTTTAAAAAAAATGAAAATGGGCATACAACGAGCTTCTGAAGATAGACAGTGGGATTTGTTTAATTCAATGCCCTCATCAGGCTCCATGGCGTAATAAAAATCAGTTCCAACAACATGGAGCGCGTTCCACATATGTATTGATTTCCAGTACCGCTGTGGGCCATGAACTCTAATTTATATTTGGTCGTGGTGGTGAATTGCTCGCCGGCTATCGAGCAGCGCTACTTATAAATATCCCTAATGACGGGCTGGCTGGAGTATCGGGAGCGCAGGCAGAGGTTGCCACTGTGCAGTGACGTGCCCCGTTACCTGAGCGACTCAGTGACATCGGCTCCAGGGGCTCACCAATATGGGTGGGTCCTGAGCTACAGTCCAGGAGCTACAGGGGTCCTGGCGCTACAGTCCAGGAGCTACAGGAGTCCTGGCGACAGCGGCTGGGTCCTGTCCTGAGTTACAGTAGAATGCTCGATAATGAGGAACTATCCACTGAACAGTAAAACAAAGGCTTGGTCTACAACTATTCGATGGACAGTGGACACGCTCATTGTTGCAAAGAGGCCCGCGCAGATAGAATCGCGGCCGTTATGTCTGGTTGAGACAAGTTATGTAGATGGAGGAGAATCTAGCATAGTTTGCTTTCTTCAAAAGAGGTTTGGCTCCAAACACTTCTTTTCGACACACACGCGCCTTAGCTAGCAAAAAGTGAAAAAGTGAGCATGAGAAGTTGAAATTCACAAGATTATAACATGTGAATTAACTATTTCACATTATTTTCATCCGTCCATCCAATCGTTTAGAACTAATTATTAAAACAATGATTACCTATTATTGTGAAACTTGCATTGCAATGTAACGAATAACTGTTGGACAGAACTGCTTAGGTACTTACTCGATTCTTACTTTGCGGGTACTGAAAAACAGTGTGTTCCATAAGTTCGTTGGCAATTTGTGCCATGCTAGTGGCGGCAGTGGCGCATAGGAGCCTAATATAGGAGGGTTTCTTATTCCAGGTATGCACTTGATTAGCATATATTCAGCTTTATCCTAAAAAATGAAATTATTAGAACAGTTACTTCCATGAATTTCTTTGACATGCGCTTTGTGACGTAAATCGTTGCGCAAAGTGCAAACCAAGAAACGTCAGGTGAGCTTAACAATAGATTACAAGTGCCTCTACCAGAGCCACACGTATTCACGTATTCCAGAGGTTCATTCCCGTTTTCCCTGGCGACCAGGCCTACCAGCCACGGACGGCTACGCCTAAGAATTCATGAGACTGTGAGACAATCTTTACAGCTGTGATAAATCTCGTCCAGCCCGCCAGATAGTCTTTATAAATAGGCCCATCGACCGAGGCGAGTGGTGCTCCTCGCCCCGGGCGGCTCTCTATAACGGGGCGCGCTGACGACGGCGAGCGCTGCCCTCCCGTCTCCAACGACAGCACTAACCGCCCGATAGCCCGCGCGATACCGGCAGCTGGTGCTCGGCCGCGGCCGGCGCCGGATTCGCTCAGCCCCCGTTCACGAGCTCCAGAATCCCTTTACCGTGACGTCACCACGGCGGTAGAATCTCCCTACACCCATAGGCATGCATGGAAATTTCATCATCTTTCGAGCGAGCTGGAGAAAAAAACAAGGATTATGTGTCATCAAAAGATGTACCATGTAACGATGAGTTCGCCTCATTACGATAAATGGGGCTGAAACTAAAAAAATAAGACTATATCGAGCCAAAATCAGCAATTCAAATGACCCCTTAATTTGAACGTGAAGGATTTTCTCTGAATGACGTCACCACGGCGCCTTTATTTCCCTAGTGAACCAGCCTGAGTAGTAAAGGAATCTTGGTTTCGCTGTCGCTGTTCGTGAGAGCGCCGGCGGCGAGCCGTCTGGCCGCCGCGGCCGGCGGTGGCCGGATGGGAATCAATAACCAGTCGCCGCCTGTCCTACAGGGCAGCCTGGTCGATCTGGTCGATAAGCCGTCCTCGTCCGCCGCCGAGACGGACCGGGACGCGCCCGAGACGGATCGGGACGCCTCCTCCGAGACTGCCGCCCACCAGCCCGCTGCCCCGGAGGGTCCCAAGGAGAGCGCACCGCAGCACGCCGCCGCCGAGGACCAGGAGCCGTCACCAGACCGGGAGTGAGGTCACCAGAGCCGTCACCAGAGAGGTCACCAGCGGCCGTCACCAGAGGGGGAGTGGGGTCACCACCAACAGCCGTCACCAGACGGGGAGCGAGGTCACATGGCGGGGAGCGAGGCCACAGGGCGGGGAGCGGCGTCCGGTGCCGGTGGGGGAAGGACGGGTAACAACCTCTGGGCGCCGTCCGGCTGGTGCCTGAAGTGACGCCGCGGCCCACTGGCAGCGACCGTGGAGGGCTCGGATGGCCCGCGAGCGAGCTCCACTCGTGGGGAGCGCGGACTCGCGGAGTAGTCACCGGTCGGGGGCGCCGTTCATAACTATGTGTGTTATCGAACTGCAGTCAAAGTTGCACTAATAGGAAATGTCAGGATCAGGTCACTGTTCAGATCAAGCGAAAAGGTCAGCTAGGGACGGAAATTCCTCGCAGAAGATATAGAACTGCTCGGGGATTTTTCCACGGGATCAATCGTGCTCGGCCAGTGACTCTTCGTGTACGTAGCACACTGAACTTACACCGGCTGATAGTGGCTTACATGTGCACTCATGGAGCTAGAGCAGAAGGCTAGGCTGTATGTAGTCGCAGCATAGTCATAGCAGTTTTCACAATAATTAAAAACAGCTGCTAGCTACAAAAAAGTGTGTGTGTTACTCAATATGCCACATAAAAGTGTGTAGATATTTTTATCAGGTCGAATGTATTTACAAAATAAGAGCTTCCAAATTTCCACAATACGCCAGCGCGCCGCTGCGGAAGGACCTCAGGCACATCCTGCGCGGTAACAGACGTCCGATTCTGCGCGTCGGTGCCGATTCACCGATGTGATGAGCCGCCTCGTCGGGGCGTTCGGCGCCGACGGAAACCCGTCACGTGGCGCGTCGCATATGTACCGGGAAACGGCGCGTCAGTTAATTAGCTGCGTGTCTGACTCCCGGCTGCCACGAGTGTGTCTCCGCGCTGGATGCAGCCGAGCCAACCGCGTAACGATAATGTGCCGGTAACGTCGACCATGTGAGCCCAGGGCGTGAGAAGGTCCGGAACTCCAGGTCAGTTAGAGCTTCGCCGGAACTTTTCCTCGCAGTACTAATCTTAAAACGTTCTCCATAATACTCTACTCTGTATCTCAAATGTCGGACGTACTGAACCTTAGGCAATAACGATTAATATAGTCTGCTGTGCACGTAACACATGTGACAAAGGACAAGGAAAATAAACGAACTCAATGACTGAAAAAGGAACGTATGACAAGAGACGCATGACACGATCTAGACGGCACCGTGACGACTGACTGACGAATACGACAGGCACCCAATCGGCAGCCATCCTACACCCGCAGACGTAGGTTGTCACTCATATCATACACGTTCATTTGCGCCCACATCCGCGCCGGCGGATGCGTTGGCTCTGGAGTGTTTGGACTGTTGTTTGACGCACGGCTCGGTGTGGGGACCTGCGCGGCGGCCGTGAGGTGCCCACTGCGGCTGCCGCAGGGCGGTTCTCCGCTCCATGTGTCGGATATTAACAATACACGGTCGAACGGTACGCCGCCCTGTGTCTGATGCGGTTCCGTAGAATGAAATGAGATCCATCTCGGGGGAAAATCCATTCTGAACTGACGTACAATGTATTATAACCGGAAAGGAAAACTACACAGTGCACAGTGCACACATATGTAGGCTGTGGCCTGTGATGGCAAATAGGCTAGTGAAGATATTTGCACTTTATTACAGATAATATTAGTTTCACATATCTATCTCTGTAGTTACTTTCGGTAGGCGAGCCAGCAAGCTTGCTCTAACCATGCGCTGTTCATGAATCATACTGCTACACCTCTCCTCTACCGTTCCTTGATCCGCGACTTTGACTCCTCTGCAAGCGCGCTTTTACAGTGGGAAAGGGAGCTGAACGGGAATTTCTACGAAAACAGCTGGTCCTGGAGCCAACGACGGGTTAATGGCGACATAGGCATTGTTTTGTTTAGTCTGTTTACGCTGAATGTAATGGTGCGCCAGACCCCGGGTCAAGAGTAGCAGGCAGATGAGCAGAGTTCCCGCCGAGAGGCACAGCACGACCGCCAGCAGTCCCAGCCTTTCGGCCACGGCGGCGCCTGCCAGCGGGAACACCAGTTTGCCGAGCGCGTGCACGGCCAGCAGCAGAGAGAACACCAGCGTCTGCGCGTGCGCGCCGGCGCTCAGCCCGGCGGCGGCCGAGGTGCGCAGCAGCAGCGGCAGCAGCGGCACGCAGGCGCCGCAGCCGAACACCTCCTGTGCCACCAGGGCGGTCACCAGCGAGCCGCGCGACGCCGGCGCGCCCGGCAGCGGCAGCAGCAGCGCGGCGCCGGCCAGCGCGCACAGACAGGCCGACACCAGCAGGAACGAGTTGCTGACGGCGCGGCTCAGCCGCAGCCAGACCGGCAGCACCAGCACCGAGGAGGCCAGCGAGGCGGCGTGCAGCAGGCCGAGCTCGGCCGTGTCCAGGCGCGCGGCGGCGCGGACGGGCGCCGTCAGACTCGGTCCCAGCGTCCACCAGTTCATGGCGATCGTCAGCATCACGACGAACGCGAGCCAGTTGTCTGGGCAGGCGGCTACCTGGCGCAGAGCGCCGACGAACCCCCGCAGCGTCTCTCCGCGGCCGAGCCGCTCCTGCAGAGCCGGACGCACCCCAGTGCGGTCCGCGCTCTGGATGTTCAGCGCGGGGAGAGCGGCGAGGGTGGCGAACCCACCGCCCAGCAGCAGCCCGCCCAGGGTGTACGGAAGCTCCCCGTAGTGCGACACGGCGTACATGCAGCCGCCCAGAGCCGGGCTGTTGACGATAACGTTGACTCCACTGGCGATCTTCACCGCGGCGTCCCTCCTGTTCCGGAACTGACTGACGCTTATTGACTTCCCAGCCGTTACGGCCGCTGTTCTCCCGATGGCTTCCAAAGTCCTTGCTGCCATGCACCAGGGCAAAAAGAAGCGCGACCCCTCCACGTAGGTGATGAGACTGAGCGCGGCCGTTGCCAGCCCGCAAACGACCACCCCGGACAGATACAGCCGACCTGCGCCGAGTCGTGAAGTCAGCCAGCCCATGGCCGGGAAAGAGATGACCTCGACGAAGGCAGCGTAGCTAAAGGCGCTGCTGACCTGGTACCGATCGAGCCCGCGCCTGGCCGCCTCCTCGGGCAGCAGCGGGTTGTGCACGAGGGAGCAACAGCGACAGAGCACGCTACCGACCAGCAGGCCTGCCAGCAGCTGCGACCGCCGGCTGCTGGCCTCTGGGCCTGCCGGAGCTGGGACAGCGCTCTCAGAGTGTAGCGACGATGGGGCGGTGACGGCTGCTGCGTTCTCGTCCGCGGCTGCCGACCGTCTCACTGGCTGTGGCACGGGATTTAACAGCGGCGCAGCCGATTCCTGGACTTCAGACTGCACGTCGACCTCTCTTGGTGCACAATACAGCTGGGATGTTCTTGACTTGTGGGGAGTGTATCGCAGACTTATGTGCTTACTTTTCAAAAACACCATGCCTTTTGATAGGCCACCGCAGTCAACAAGAAGCGAATGGAGTTAAATGCTTAGTGTTCCAAGCTGGTCTAAGGACAGCACTACTCCTGGTCTTCAGCCTGCAGGATACCTGCCTTTCAGTCGCCTCCACACGACTCACGAGCAGCCCGAAGTCCTCAGCCGCAGATGGCGAATGAATGCGACCGCAGGTGTCCACCCCACCGTCTCCAGTCTGGGTCAGTTTTGGTACATTCCGGTGGAAGACAGGGACAGCTGTGGCGCCAGACCGCTCCATTCACTGCCCGCCCGCACGGCCTCAGGTGTGCGTCCTTCCGCCTTTGCTCTAGAAATGCGTTAAAGGACTTCCTCAGAAGTCAGAAGGACTGTCGAGCATAGGTCAGGGTCAAGGTTAGGTCAACTAGGTAAGAACATATCCCCAAAAATCGAAGTTGACATTCGCAGCATATGACACATGTTTTAAGACATACTTTTATGTGTAGACTGTAGAACACGATGGTGTCATTCAGTTTATCATAAGAGTTTGTTTGGTCGAAAATGATCAATTAACACGCGCACCGACGGGGGTCTGCGCCAACTTAGTACCGACGGGGGGGGGGCGGATGACCGCCCCCCCCCCCCTGAGATCTCGAGAACGAAGCAAGCAAGATAGTGACAACCGGTAAACGGCATCGGATACGCACGGACAAGGTCTACAATTTTTACAAAGGTCATTTTCAGGTCAGGTCAAAGATGACGTCACAGGGGTCGAAAAAGTCAAAATGGCGGCGCTAGATATGGAGAGAGTTTTTCTCGAATAACTTTCGAATTAGTCCAGATAGAAACAAACTAAGGGCATCATCGTGATCCTCTCGTCAATCCGCATCGAATGATATGTATATATGTTGACCTCGAAAGGTCAAGGTCAAAGGTTGACCTCAGGTCACGTGACCTTGAGGTCACCATGTATATCATTCGATGCGGATTGACGATCTGAACACAATGAGACCATCCGCGCGGCTGTATCTTGTTCCTGTACGGAGTTATTGGCAAAAAACCTTTGGTGACCTTTGATGACGTCACATGACCTTACAGCTGCCCAACAGCAAAACAGACCTCAAGGTAGTGAAGGTTGATCGTATATGAAGTCATGTATGGTATATGGGGCCATTCCGACCCGTCTTAGTGGTAAAAACATGGAGTTGATTTTTCCCCCGTTGACTTATAATGGGGAGGTCGCGAAATTGACCTGACCTTAGGTCACCGATATCAAAATTCCGAGATAAAGAAATTGTAGCTACTAATGACCTTATAACATCCTGCGACTTTCAAAGGCCTCCGACATCTACTGTAGCTCTGGCACGGTGACAAATTTGCAAAAAAGTGACTTGAGGTTGGGTCATCCAAAGTGACCTGGTGACCTGACCTTCAAAGTTAGGAGGTTCAAACTTGCACACCATGTGTAAAATTGATGAGAGAATAGTCGTACAAAATTTCGCGGCGCTATGCGCCGCGGTTTCCCCGCTATTCGTGAAAAACCTCAGGGGAGCGGATATCCGCTCCCCCGTCGTTGCGCGTGTTAAAGAAATGCATGCATCATGGTCGTGAAGAAGCCACGAAAAAGTATCGAGATTCAATTAAAGAATTTGAAGAATGTAGATTTATAATAAGAAATTGAAGATAGCCATTTGATTGTGAGTAGTATTGGCAGTCTAATGGCGTTTCCCGCATGTCTGTTTGTTTGTTCTGTGATTTTATGTGGCATTTGCCATTTTTGGTCGAAAACTCCGAAATCATGACGTCACTTAAACCTCGATGCCTCTAAAATTTTTCAAATCGAGTTCTAAAAACTTGTTCACAATAAATTTCAATTGATTCCCTACCGCCTACAGATACTCTAAATTAAGCGCGCGGCAAAAAAGTGTTGAACGTCCCCCCCCCGACCCCCAACAATTCACGGGTTGAGTGCAGCTTGCCCGAGATTTCAGTGGGTCTTAACCCGCGAGTTGCTGGGGGGGGGCGTTAAATGCCCCCACTTTTTTCGCCGGGCCATAGCCATAAAAACGGCGCGACGCAGGCGCGCCAAAATTTGGGTACCTACCTGTACGGAATTGCTTGAAGTTTATTGTGACAAGGTCATAAAACAATCGTTTGGAAATTTTTTTGAGATATCGAGGTTTTAGTGACGTCATGATTTTTGAGTTTTCGACCAAAAATGGCATATGTTCAAAAAATCATATAAAATCACAGAATAGACATACAGACATGCCGTCAACGCCATTAGACTGCCAATACCATGAATAATCAAATGGCTATCTTCGATTATTGATTACCGTTCCGCATTTTCCAAAATCTTGTGAATCTTGGCAATTTCTCGTGAATACTTCACGACAATGATACATGCATTTCTTAAATTGACTTTTTGAGCCAAACACGTACACATATGATAAAATGAATGTCACCATCGTGTTCTACGCCCAAAATTACCCATAAAACATGTGTCACAGGCTGCGAATATCAGTTTTGATTTTCGGGGCTATGTGCCTACCCGGTTGACCTGACCTTGACCCTGACCTATGCTTGACTGACCCCTACATGGAGCTGACACTCTTGTAGGCCTTAGGGGAGAGCGGGGCCAGTTGAACCACTTTTTATATATTGACATGCACAGCGAGATCTAGTTGTCATATCGAAAAATGCACAATGCCATGAAAAAATATGCTCTTTTGGCTTTATTTTAAGATATGTAAAATTATGTTTCAAACATACTTTGCTGCCAAACGCATGCTTATAAAACAGCTCTACGCCCGTTTCAAATGACCCCGATGCGAGGGTCAATTGAATCAGCCCATGGGGTCAATTGCACCTATCCTTAACAATGGGATGTTTTCCTCTTTAAGGCCACTTTCTTAAGGAGATATTTTGCCCGGTTTACTTTTCCAAATGCTACATTCAATAGGTCGTTGGAAAGCTAAAAGCGCAAAGTTCCTCATAATAGGTGACATAAAGTACATAAACTATGGTAAAATGGGCGGATGAGAAAAATGAGAAATATCTCAGCCTATAGTGTGCTTTAGAGCAACAGGCTGGAGAAAAAGGGGTAAAAAATTGAGCTCTATTAACCCTCGCCCGCACATGCCATTTTCCCATCCTAGAACGCACATGGGGGGGTGGTTGCCACCCCCCCCGCGCCATTTCGTTCCTGTTGGAGATAGAGCTTAGCGGTAAAGACCAAAAAGATTTTTTGGGAAGAGACGAATCCAATGATACCCAGTTTTACCTTCTCAGGTCAGTCATTGACCTTCCAGGTCAGGTCAAACTAAAAAATGTTGCTGTTTTAGGTCACCGTTGGATATCAAGCGCGCTGCTTGTCATATACCGATGACGATGCCGTTTTCTGGTGCCAAGCCAGCTAGAACCTCTTTGTCACACTACCCGACCAGGTTTTTGCTGCTGAGGTCATCTCAGGTCAAGTTAGGTCAAGGTCAATAATATGTGTTTGTATGTCTGTGTGTGTCTGTGTATACTGATGTGTGCACCGATTGTTTATGTGTCCATATTACATAAAATCATGATCTGAGAAGCTTTTACCAAAAATGTAGTCAAAAAATTTCAAAAAAAGTAAATTCAGCTTGCCTATAACGCAATTATCTTAGATGACCTAGGTTGACCTTGACCCTGACCTTGACCTCTGTACATCGTCGAACAACATGTTTCATGATAGGTGGGAGGTAGGATTGGCATAAAAGGCCGAAATCAAGGTGTTAAAAGCTCACAAGGCCCATAGCCAACGCAAGATGTTGAGAATTGGCCATTTGGGTCATGACATGACCTGAAAAACAAGGTCATATCTCCGAAACCAAAAACCACAGAAACTTGAAATTTTCAGTGGACATCAAGAAAGGATAGAGGAGCAGCTATACGAAAAATCAGCTTTCTAGCTCTAAAAATGTTGAGTGCAGAGCAGAAAGACTACCTGGGGGGGTGGCAACCACCCCCCCCCCCCCCCCCATGTGCGGGCGAGGGTTAAACTACTATTTCAGTTTAAAAGCTCATTTCAAAGGTGGACTATTTCCTTTAGTGTTTACAGCCCCTGAACAATAACCATTGCAAAGGTCACCGGGGTCCATTGAAACGGCCTGTGGCCCTGTTTCAACTGAACCTCAGAGAAGCGTTTCAATTGACCCCATCCGCTCCCGCCATCTCGCACGCGCCGTAAAGCACATGTCAAACGAGCTGGAGGGACGGCATCATGCTGAATGAAGGGCCAAATAAGGTGTTATTCCGGAGCCAGGAGTTCTTCTTTCAGCAAACAAAGGTATATGAGATATCACAAAATATTCATAAGAACGATTTCTCCCAAACGCCCTTCAAAAACACAAAAACAAGTGTCAAATCGAAATTACCGTCCGTTTGCCGCCCAAACGCCGTTGACAAAGGAAGTGGTCGAGCGCGGATGCGCAGTGGTGTCGGCAACGCCATATGCTGCATACTGTTGAAAATAAAGCCATGTTTCATCTGACCCCGTGTTTCAACTGGCCCCGCTCTCCCCTATATGAAGGATTGTGCACCGTTTTGACAGAGTTTATGACGAGAGGCGCCCATTGCGAAGTCCTGAAGTCCATGCTACTGAAAGCCCGATGTCATGTGTTTGACCTAACCTTGACCCGACCTGTGACCTCAAAATTCAACTTTAACCCTATTCCTGGCGGGCTCCGCCGGGACAAGAAACTGGCGGGGGGGGCCGATTCGGCCCCCCCTTCAGATATCAAAAACTACACATCGCAGCGACAAACGGCAAACGGCACTTGATAGGTCATTTAAAGATCTACAACTTTTACATAAAACATTTTCAGGTCAGGTCAATATTGAGGTCACCAGAGGTCATCAACGATAAAATGTTTTGGAATTAGTTACCTATATAACTTTTAAACTAAGAAACATAGAGACATAAAACTAATACATTTTTTGTTGCTCTCGCCGAGGCGATGCGAAATAAGTATATAATGACCTTCACAGGTCAATTTGAAATTTGACCTGAGGTCAAGGTCAGGTCATTCATCAATGAGGTTGTGGGGTATGGTCATGCTGCATACCAAACGACGCGCCTTGACCAGGCGAGCAGTTTGGTACCACTTACGAGTCTTTAGCACCATTATGTCGTGATTTATTGGCAGAAAAACGATTTATGACGTCACATGACCTCAGATGACCTTTGCCGGTGCCCCTGTCAATTAGCGGCACCAGGATCATCACCGATGAGATAATCTCCCACAATACTGAAAGAATTGGGTGGTT